ACTCTTAGAGAGCTCTTCGTGTTGGCGGACGGCGCTTCAGCGGTGGTGGTTTCCCGTGTCGAGTGGGTTGCACACATCAGGCTGCACTACCCCCTGTTTGTGTTGCAGATGATCATGTCCCCTGTGCGCCTCAGCACGCTAAAAGAGCTTTTTCCCCTAAAAGAGCAATTTCGGGTGCGTCTTTTTAAAGACGACGTTGCGTGGCAAATTTGACGTTACGTCTTTGTAAAGACGATGTGGGTCTTGCTATAGACAACGTATCACCTGGGCGTTTTTGGATGCGGTTGTTACCTGGCGCTGGGTGATGGTCACGATCGTTGCCTCTTGTGCCTGGGCATGAAGCACGCTGAGGTGGCTTTCGTGGATGACTCATGCTCCCATTGCGGGGGTATGACCATCTCGGAGTTGCGCACCGGACTCCGTTACCTGCAAAGGGGCGGAGTGCCCGTGCCACTGCCTAGATCTGCAGTTCCCTCTGGTGGCAGCCGGGGGCGTTCTTTTTTCTGGCGGTGGGCGGACTGGTCTTACGGTCACTGTGAGGAATTCCTCTCCTGGGATGCCCAAGCCCGCCGGCACTTCGAAACCAGCGGAGCTCTCAAAAAAGCAGGCTGGACCCTCCCGGGGGGTGCCACCTGTTTCTTCGAGGCTCCCCCCCGGCAGAACCTGCATTTTATTCGCTAACCACCCAGTCTAACATGATCAGGCATTATTGGTGCTATTTATTGTAGCAGTGCAAATTCATATATCATAATTGCACCTTTATGTATCACAGTTGTGACTTACTTTCCCATAATTGCATAATTGTTTTATTTCTCAAAATTGTGACTTGTGTTCTCATAATTGATTTTGTATCTCAAAATTGTGAATTACTTTCTCGTAATTGTGATTTTATTTCTCACAATTGTGACTTTATTTCTCATAATTGTGCTTTTATGTCTCAAAATTTGATTTGCTTTCTCGTAATTGCAATTTTATTTCTCACAATTGTGAATTTATTTCTCATAATTGTGACTTAATGTCTCACAATTTGATTTGCTTTCTTGTAATTGCGATTTTATTTCTCAAAATTGTGACTTGCTTTCTCGTAATTGTGATTTTGTAAAATGTTTGTATTATATTACTCACAATTGTGACTTTATTTTTTGTAATTATGACCATTTTTTGTAATTGTGATTGTATATCTCAAAATACTTTCTCATAATTGCGACTTTATTTCTTGTAATTGCGATTTTGTATCTCACAATTGTGATTCGTAATTACAGTTTTATTTCTCATAATTGTGTCTGGTAAAATGTAAACTATTTTTTTTTTGCGATTTTATTTCTTGTACTATAATCATGACTTCATTTTTTGAAATTGCAACTGTGCAATTGTGACTTACTTTCTGGTAATTGCAGTTTTATTTCTCACAATTGCGACTTTATTTCTTGGATTTCTGACATTATATCTCACAATTGTGACTACTACTCATAATTAAATTTATTTTTTTTTACTTGTAATTGCAACTTTATTGGTCACAATTGCTTTTTTTCTTGTATTTGTGTATTTGAAACTCTTTCATTTAATGTTTTGGTCTGTCTAGGTCTTGCTCTTACCTACATCCTGGAGAACAGCTTCAAACCTGAGTCTGGGGCTCGTAGCAATGTTCCCAAAATTGGAATTCTGATAACTGACGGCAAATCCCAGGATGATGTTATCCCTCCTGCTCAGACCCTGAGAAGTGCTGGAGTCGAGTTATTTGCCATTGGTATTAGAAGATTCCTTAATGCATCTTTGTGTAAACTAGTTCATCCAGTTTAATATATGCAGTATGTAGAAAAAGTATCCAGCTAGTGAAAAATAAACAAAGCTTTTCAGAAGTCATTTATGAATTTTATCGCTAATAAGTATTTACAAAATCTTCCAAAAGATTGTAAACTGTCAACACAGACACATGATCAACACAAGCTATTTATTATAAATATTCCAGAAGCATGGAATATGAGCTGTGTGAAAATGGTTGTGCGTAGGTGTGAAGAATGCTGATGAGAACGAGCTGAAGGCCATCGCCTCTGAACCAGAGGAAACACACGTTTATAATGTGGCAGACTTCAGTATCATGAGCACTATAGTGGATGGGCTGACCAATAAGGTGTGTGATGGAGTGGAGCAACAAGACAAAGAAATTAAACGTGAGTGTTTTAATTGCTGTTTAAACTTAGATACAGTATGTGATGTGTGGAAGGCATCTAAAGCCTCATGATTTCCTCATGATTGACAGGAGATTCTTCCACTGAAGAGACGGCGTCTCCACCCCAAGACTTGGTCACTTCTGAGGTGACTGCACACAGTTTTCGAGTGACCTGGACTCATACGCCTGGCAGTGTGGAAAAATATCGAGTTGTTTACCATCCAACCGGGGCAGATATTCTGGAAGAGGTGACCAATCAGAGCAACTTTCAAATATGCTACTCAACTATTAGCAATGCGACAAAACATCCACTAAGTTTATCCGAAACCAAACCTTCCACCTAAAAGCCACTTAAAGGCATAGTTCACCCGAAATCATTTATCATTTACTTATCCTCAAATCATTCCAAACCTGTATGAATTTCTTTCTTCTGTAGAACAAAAAAGACCCATATAATGAAAGTCTATGAGGTCCTAAACCACATTCAGCCCCACTGACTTACATTGTATGGCCACATTTTACCAAAATGTCTATTGGAAGATACAGTAGATGACCTTATAGTCAGAGGTCCTACTACGTAAGTCAGCTGATGTTCACCAGATGTTTTAGAAGTCATTCTTGTGTGTTCTTTCTTTAAAATAAACTCTGATTGGTTTGATATTTTGTTATCTAGAGCAATGACAGTCTTACATTTTTAACTGTGGCTTAAATGTCAAAATACCTTTTAGTGCCTCTTTTATCTTTTGGTCTATTTCCAGTTTTTTTTTTCTTTGTGGTAGGTGTCAGCACGATACTATAAATATTATGTGCTGCACATTATGTGCTGCACAATATGTGCCACATTATTAAACACTGCAGAGTTTTTTTGGTCTTATTTTTCACAAGCATTCTCCAAACTGCTGTGCTAGGCATCACAAACCACTGTTTTTATGCTGTACAGATTGTGGTGGGTGGCACGAAGAAATCAGTCGTCTTGCAGAATTTGAACTCTCTGACTGAATACGAGATTGCTGTGTTCGCTGTGTACCGCAGCGCAGCAAGTGACGCTCTGAGAGGCAGCGAGATCACGCGTGAGTCATACTCTAAACTTGCCACGACCAACATTGACTACAGAACATTTCATATCACATGCGTTACAGCCTCGTGTCCTTCAACACCATTTCACTGTAAAACAGTAATTACCCACAAACTACATGCCTATTTCTTTTTCCTAAATGCCCTTTACTGTAATTCTTTCATCACCTTCTAATATGCAATATGTTTATTTCCTAACCACTACTTTAGAGCAGACGCATGTCAGTCAACTCAAGAACACAGGACTGAAGTCTGCAGTATTTAGTGGTTGTTTAGGATGTTTAAAGTCTTTTAGGTTTCTGGTGGAATATAGAGTTATGCTAAAGACTATTCATGTGTGCTTGTTCCAGAATGAAAACATTTTCTGCTTCTCTCACACGCCATCAAAGTCACACTCTTCCCAGAATCCAACTCAGAACACACTTGTGATCTTTGCAAATCTTTTACACATACATCCAAAACCGAAAAAAAAACACTCAAGATACTGTACACAAACACTTCAAAAAATAGTTTTCATAATCAGTATTTTTCCAGTAAAACAAGATTTAAATGAGAAGCTAAATTGTGTTAGATATTAAAACGTGTTTTCTGAGATGTAATTTGGATTTAAAACAGACCAAATAAAAATTTTATCATGTAAATGAAATGTAATTATTAACATTTTTTTAACATTTTAACTTTAACATTTATTAACACTTTCTAAAGCATTATTTTTCTTTCAAATATTATGAATTATAAATTATTCTTTAAAAAATATTAAAATTGTATTAAAAATGCATGTCCTTATTAAAAATGTTTCAATTTTAAATTAAATATATATTGTTTAATTACATTCTTGTAGTCTTAATATCTTATAAAACTTTGCTTGCACTTACATATCAATTAAGATAAATTAATTAAAAATTTAAATCTTAAATCTTAGATTTTCCCCCCTGACAATAATTAAGAATGATACATTATTATTATACATTTTCTCACATGCATTTATATTGTTTTCTGTACTTTTACTGTAAAATAAGATAAAAATATGGATTTATAAAATGATTGCAATGTACACACTCACTCACATGCAAACACAAAAAAACACTGTCTGTCTGCGTTAAGTATGGATGTCTAATTTGTATTTATGTGTGTATCTCAGTGGCTCTGCCAACAGTGAGTGATCTCAAGGTGTACGATGTGACAGACAACAGCATGAGAGCCCGCTGGAGGGATGCAGAAGGGGCTTCTGGGTACATGATCCTTTACGCTCCACTGAGCAGTGAGACTACAGATGAAAGAGAGGTGAGGCTGCAAATTGTCTTTGTGAGTGTGACTGTCTGTGTTTGAGTAAACGTTAAGCCCGCGCCGGCATTATGACACTTCCACCAAAATAGTAGCTTTGCTGTTACACTCTTTTCATGGGAGCTGTAGAAGAAGAATAGCATTCATCATGTTTGAGTTCCCTTGGTTGCACTTCGATCTGTATTTCAGCAGCCATTATGCTGCTCTAAAGGTGTTGCCATTGTTTTTGGGATACAGCTAAAGGTGGATGAGTCGGTGACTGATGTGGAACTGACTGGATTGATTCCTGACTCAGAGTACACCGTTACAGTCTATGCCATGTTCGGAGAGGAGGCCAGTGATCCCGCTACTGTTCAGGAGACCACCAGTGAGTGTCCAGGCCAATCTGTTTTAAATTTAAACATGCAATCAGTTTTCTTTCCTACTCTTATTTGTACAATGTCCAGTGTTTAATGGTTCTGTTTTGAATTCAATTCAGAATAATGCACATTAATAAACACAATAATGTGTTTAAATGTGCACCAAGCAATAGGGCTGGGTGGTGTAGATCAAATAGTTCAATATTTTCAGTTTTTAAATAATAGTTGAACTATATCTCAAATGGCTTTTTTTTTCAATGAAATCAAACCTGGTTTCAACCAAGTTATGTAAAACCAAAAATGTTCAATGCAATATTAAAATTCTGTTAAGATGTACATTTTATATGTTCACACAGCATTTTCATTTACACTACTGTTAAAACATTTGGGGTGTTTTTAAGTTATTTAACATCTTTGAAATACAGTAAATATTTTATGCTCACAAAGCCTATTTTTATTTGGTCAAAATGCAGTAAAAACAGTAATATTGTGAAATATCAGTGCAGTTTTAAATAACAGTAAAATATAATTGATGTGATGGCAAAGCTGTATTTTCAGCATTAATTTCTCCAGTTGAATCTGTCCTTGCTGAATAAAAGGAAAGAAATTACCAGCTGCAGATTTTAATTAAAGATGTTACCTTGTCTTAACACTCTCATTCTCATGAGTTGCAAATTGCAAGACAAGGACGCAATGTGTTGTTTGGAAAATTAATGAACTGTGTTAAAAAGTGCTTTAAAATCATTGTGACTGCAATGTTACGACAATGTCACTTAATATTCAATAAGTGTCAGTGACTGATCATTAGTCCCTGTCTTCCTGCAGTGTCCCTGAGACCTCCACATAACCTGTGGGTCACTGAAGTTGACCACAGCTCTGTGCGACTCAACTGGGACGCAGCATCCAGTAAGGTTAAGGGCTACCGTGTCATGTATATGAAGACAGATGGTGTCCAGACCAGTGAGGTGATCACTACATGACAAGCACTCGTTTCTCTATTAAACAAACATGTACTCATTCACTCTCACACTCTGTTGATCAGATAAATAGTACATACAATTATTCAAATGATCGAATATTAGTAAATTAGTACTTACAAGTTCCTGCATTATGTTTACTGAATGAAATCCAATGCTTGTTTCTTACTAATTTTGGGGTGCTGATTCCAAAAATAGTGCCTTTTTGCTCTAGCATATCATACTGTCTCACAAAATATGATGTGCATTTTGACAACCATTTGCTTTTGACAACCATTTGCGAGGTTAAGAAATCTTGTATTTTCCCTTAATCACCAGAAAAATGACAGCATGATTCTTATCTTCCTCTGAGCCAGGTTATAACTAGGCCTATTTGTTCAATTCTTAACCTATTTTTACATACAGTATATGACATTATAATATGCCTAATCCTGATTTCAAGGTTAGAATTATGACCAGCAACAGAGGAAAATGTAAACATGACAAAAATAAATAAAAAAATGTTTTAAATCTAAAGTTCTTTGACATTAAATGGAGTATTTAACATATTTTCCCACTGTTGTGCAAATTTAAGTTAAATGATACATTTTGAATATTTCTTTTTGCCATTTGCCGTTTGACTGCTTTTGCTATTTTACAGAGGTCCTATTATGCTTTTTCACTTTTTTCAACTTTAGTTAGTCTGTAATGTTGCTGTTTGAGCATAAAAAAGATCTGCAAAGTTACAAAGCTCAAAGTCCAATTCAAAAGGAGATATTTTATTTAACAGAAATCACCTTTCAAAAACTACAACGACAGACTCATTTGGACTACAACGCATATTTTCCGGGATTTGTGATATCACAAATACCGACGAATGGGACGAGACCTGGTTGAGCTTCACTAGAGAAGGCACCGAGTGTTATCACTATGTCGGAGACACGCTAGCTTTCCCAAGGCAGACGAACTTAGAGTGGTTACAATCATCCGGGTTTAAATCGCGCTCAAATTGATTTGATATTGACGCAATATTTACACTGAAGCTTGCAAGCGGCTATGGTAAGGGGCGTGACATTTCCCAACCAGGCGCCAATCACAACACACACTGGCCCAGCTAACCAATCACAGCACATTTCGTATTTCAGAAGGCGGGCCTTCATTTGATACAGGAACTATTCGAGCCGTTCATGCCAGACTGGGATAGAGAGGTGTTGTAATAATGTAAAATATGTAAAAAATAATGTGTTTATTCATTTCAACCTAGTATGGGAGCCTGTTCTAGTACACCACCAAAACAAAATCAAGACTTTGTGAAAGAGCATAATAGGACGCCTTCAATAAGTAAATTAAAGCTGATACTTACGTATGTCATTTGAAAAATCTTTTTTATATTTTTTAACTTAGCATCATCAAATTAAGTAATATTAGGCCTTTTTGTAAATCAACTGATTTTTTTTTTCAAGATGCAGGGTTGTGTTGTTATTGTAATTATACGAATATCCAAATTATTTAAATGTAATTATTAATCCAAATATTATTGATCACTTTAATTACTTTATAAATAATTTAATGAAGATAAATGCAGTATGCATTATTTTTCTTCTCTCCAGGTGGATTTGGGTCCAGTCACCAATGTGTACCTGAAGAACCTGTCACCCTTAACAGAGTACACCGTTGCAGTTTTTGCTCTCTACAATGCCGGCCAATCAGAGGCACTCAGTGGTGGATTCACTACAAGTGAGACTGTTTGATCCTTGCCAATTAACTACTTAAAAATTTTTAAATGGGTGAATTCAGTTATACTGTTTTGTTGGTTGTATTAAGAATGCTAGCTAGGCCTGTGCAAATAATCAAATGCAATTGTCATGTGCATCTCGTCAGTAAAGCCGGTTCTGTGATTAGTAGAAAATCTCCAGCACATGCTTTCAGATGGAGCGGCATTTACTACACAGAGCCGTAGTTCACTGACAAGCTACGCAATATCGCGTTCATTATCGGCAATGAATCGCCTGTGGTTATGTAGCTTGTCAGTGAACTACGGCTGTGTGTAGTAAATGCTGCTCCATCTGAAAGTACGTGCTGGAGATTTACTACTAATCACAGAACCAGACAATCACATTTGATTATTTGCACAGCCCTAATGCCAGCATATGCTGGGCGGTGGGTGTGGATTTCTGCAAATTATTTTTCCAAGCACAGAACAGACAGGGCCCATTGGTATTCATTATCATGAGCCCGGCAAAAACAAATATTGTCTGCTTGCCGCAATGCTGATTTAACATGTACATGTATGTGCATATTTTGTCGTATTTTCCTCCTCCACAGAATTTGAAATATCCGCTGCACACAAAGTCTGCAGTTTACTCCAGCTGGAAAGCAGGAATGGATGCTTTCTCTGTCCTGGACAAAGCATCACTTTCTAGGCAGGCTGTTACATTCAGTAATCACTGATTGGCTGCTGGAATCTATAATAGATCTGGGCCTTCATTTCCTGAGTTTCATTGTTCTGTGGGTGTCCTGACATTGTCATTGTAGCAATCAGGTTTTGTGGTGAAATTTCTAGGGAATACATTTGAATTTAAAAGTGATTGTCATGGTAAATGCTGGTTGCTCTGTGGAAAGCGGAAATGAGAATGTTCAGGAATTCATTCACCAAATCACATTAAATAGTTTAAAAGATTAGTTCACCCAAAAATGAACATTATGTCATCATTTACTCGTCTTCATGTCATGTCAAAGCCTAATAGCTTTCATCTGTCGAACACAAAAGGAGAAATGGTCAAAGGAACAGACCGAAATGAATGCCACATTGGAGTAATACAAATATATTTAATTCCAAATATATTCTATGAAAACAACCTTTACTATTTTACACAAATTTTCAAGTATATCTATCTTGTTGCAAGGATTTTTGCATATTTTACTGGAACACAAGATAAAATACTGAAATGATTATTATTACTATTAGCAGTTAACTACTGTTTTAGTATGTAAACAATTTTAAACATAATTGTCCATTTTTGTGATCAAACTAATTATAGTTTAGTCAAGGATCTTTGTTTGCATAACCGTGTCTGATTCTATCTCATTCAGAGCTTGTGCCGGCCCCGTTCAGCCTGATGACATCAGAGGTGACCTCAGAGAGTTTCCGGGTCAGCTGGTCACATCCTGCCAGGGATGTGGTGCTCTATAAGATGAACTGGTCACCCACTGAAGGAGGAGAAGAGAGAGAGGTCAGTCAATTACCAGTACAATGATTAGTGATGTGCTACAGCTAGAGGGTACCTGGCTTTGCTTTTTTTAATTTTATTTCTTTATTTTTTCATTATATTTATATTTATAATATAATATAATATAAAACAAAAGTTTGGGGTCAGTTAGATTTTCTTTTTAAATTATTACTTATTCAGCAAGGATGTGTTTAATTGATCAAAAGTGACATTAAAAACTTTAACATTATTATAAAATATATTTCAAATAAATGCTGTTTTATTTGAACATTCTATTCATCAAATAATCCTGAATGTATCTGTTTTCAGCATTAATAAAAAAAAAAGAAATGTTGCTTGATTGCCAAATCAGCATATTATTATTTTTCCTTCCCAGGCATAAATTACATTTTAAAATATATTAAAATAGAAAACATTTCTTTAAAATTTTAATAATATTTCACAATATTACTGTATTTCAATATTTCTGTATTAAATGCAGACTTGGTCAGCATAAAAGGCTTCTTAAACAAACATTAAAAAACTTTTTGAGCTATAATGTAATGTAATATAATATAATATACTATATAAAATGTATAATAAGTCTGTTTCATGCTTATAAGAACTCTTAAAAAAAGAAATACATATATAAATCAGTTGGTCACTGGCAAAACATTTACTATAACATAATTAAATATGTTTAATGTGGCTTACAAAAGCATTTTGTCTGTCAGTGGAGACGATGCTTTTTGGCAGTAGGATGGTGGAGTCTTGCCATCTTCCAGCAGGGGCACATGCTAACCAGCCAAACCCTGAATCCTTGAATTCTCCTGTTTTTCTTTGACTTTTCTACAGTGTTTCTCAATTGTGACTTACTTGCTGTTTTCAACATCCATTGCTAGATGTTAGTTTCAACAAACTATATATATATGTTGAAAAATAGAAAGTGAAATATGAATTTTATGAGTTTCTTGAAAATGATTTATGAGTCAATCAATACTTTCTCCTAACCCAGAGCCTGGGGCCAACTCTTATTCTCTATTAGAAATGGCCAGTCACTGGCACTCACAAGCACCAAAACAACCAGCAGCATACTGAACACGTCCTGTCACCTCTATCCCTGACACACGTGACCACAAACACAAGCGTGTGTGACGGAGAAAGTTTTTATTACTGGCCAGGAGTCAGTGCAGCTGTTTTTTATAGATAGCACTGCAGGTCGATATGTTTACCAAGAGCCACCAGAGCAGAAAATAATAAAATGCTGCGAGGCAAACTGGAATGTGGCTTGAGCTTCATGTCCTAGAGCAGAGGAGTCAGTCCAGAAACACATATTCACTCAAAGGAGTTTGCTGGGACGGCCCAGAGCTGACTGAGATCCAAAGATCTCTTGATAGCAGGCTTGCTTTTAAATGCATGTTCTTAGGCCCCGTGTCCACCAAAGTGTTTTTTCCTGAGGTTAGCGTATTTTTTCAATTGTTTTCAATGGGAGCGCTGTGTTTTTTAAAACACCAGGAGCATGCCGAGCACTGAGTGGCTTTTTTGCGCTGAGCGTTCCGGTGTTTTTTTCTCGGTGCCGAGAGTTGAAGAATGTTCAACTTTGGATAAAATGCAGCGCTTATCACTATCACTTTTGAGTCAGCCGTCCAATCATAGTGGAGGAGGGGCGGGACAAATGCCACTCCGACCAACTGTCACACATGCTGCTTGTACTACGACTAAACAACAATGGAGGAGATGTTAATATTGCTTGTCTCTGAGTATTCATGTCTGTACTGGAAGGGATTCCCGAACTGCTACGAATATTGATATGAACAATAATTCTTTTTATATTTCATTCAAGATGCATCTGCCACATTACTTCTGCTGTTATTCAGTATCATAGCAACCACAGTGTCTCAACTGAAAAAAAAACGCTTCTCTGCAGAAGCGCTCTCAAGCGCTCACAGCTGGACGTTTTCAGCAGAGCGCCTGGCGTTTTCAGCTGGCTAAAAACGCTTTGATGGACATGCAGCCTTATTGTTGGCATGGCGTAGGTGCTTTGGTGAGCAGCCACCAACATTTATACCAGAGAAAACGTGATGTTACTGATTGTAATCTGTTGCAGCTACTATCACTTTTTCTGAAAAATGGACAGAAAATACAGTTGACTTATGTTCTGCACAATGACGCACAAATAATTTTGTAAAAATATCCCCTCTCCATTTATAAATGCCATCTGTCAAGCAGACTGTAGTTTACGACATACAAAATCATAAGAAAATGATTTGCCAGTCTACACCTCAGCATCCTCTCGATGATGACTGTGGTGGGCCTCTTCATTAGAACCATCACTCTTGGATCTTGGCTGAAATAGATGTGGCCTTGCTCCAGAATTGGATTGTCCATTTTCTTTATCATCACCTTCTGACACTTGGCGATAAATCTTTTCAAATGACTGTAAAGTATCTTCTTTGCTGTCAAGTGTGGTTTGTCTGGTCTGTAACATAATTTTCAAGCTATTTTTAAAAAGTTGTCCCATGCATTCCAAAATATCTGATTTGAATTAACTCTCTAACCACGTGTTGATGATTACCAAACAAGAGGTTTAATCAGGCTGACCTAATCTCAGCACTATTAAAATGTCATTATAACTCTGGTTTATACTGTAACTGGGTGCTTTCGTGTTTGTGTGTTGTGTAGATGATGCTGGATGGAGCTGTGGACTCATATGTGATTCAAAACATGAGTCCTTTTACAGAGTATAAGGTGTCACTGTCAGCCATCTATAAAGACGAAACGGAGAGCAGCGTTGTGGTTGTGCTCGAGAATACATGTAAGACCTGCAGTAATGTTGTTTAAATGTTTAACACCAACCAGCTAGTTTCACATCATATCAAACTGACTAATTGTTTTTTTGTTTTGCTTTGATTTGTTTTTGTTTTTTGTTTTTTTGTCCTTTGTTGTTGATGTTTGTTTTTGCTTTTTGCTTTGATTTTGATTTTTTGTTTGTTTTTTTGCTTTAATTTGTTTTTGTGCTTTGTTTTTGTTTTGCTTTGCTTTTTTGTTTTGTGTTGTTTTGCTTTTTTTTATTGCAGTGGGCTGGACCACAGAAGTTCCCACCACTTTCCCCTCCACTACAGCATGTAAGAAAAATATGACTTTATCCTACTGAGATTTGAACATTGGATTGATGGATGGATTGATAGGTAGATTAAGTTGATCTGTATCATCTAGTTGTTCATCTGGGAGTGAGTAACCTGTGGGTGGATGAGGAGACCCCCTTCAGTATGCAAGTGAACTGGGAGGTGCTGGACTCAGACGTGGAGCAGTACAAAGTGACATATGTCAGTGCAGACCGCACAGAAGAGACAGTGAGTAAACATAATCACAGCACACAGACATCCATAACTAATGTTAATATAACAACACAAGAGCGAGCTCACTCTGTCATCATCATCTTCCTGTCTTCTAGAGCAGTTTAGCTCCACTCTCTTCTCTGAATCAGAGTGCATAAAGAGGGCAACATACACTTGTCTTATTTGTGTCCCAGCGAGGCTGTTATTTCATAAAGCTACCTATATTGCTCTTGCACTATAAAAATATAAGGAAAAAATTTATTACCTCTGTGCTGTTAGACTGCAGGCTGATCATATTCCTCTGGGTAAGTGAAGTTGAATGATGCAGCTCTGCTGCCTGTATTATCTGTTGCAAGGACATGTCTTGCTCAAAGTGACCTTTTCAAATGCGTGTCCCTGTACTGGAACCCCCTTTGTCTTATACTACAGTGATTCCTGATGTGCAAAATCATATGGTGAGGAATCACAGGGAGTGAATTAAAACACGGCCACTCTTCTGATGTGGGAATCTGCTGTTTTTGTGGCACCATAGGCTAACTTTGCTGCAACTTGATCTAGCACGGTTAAGATCTTTCATGGCGTAAAGTTTAATTCAAACTCTGTGGTGACTCATCGCCCCTAACTGTACAGAATATCGACCTCTCCACAGTTGTAATTCTCGTGGAGAATCATTGGAGGTCAAGCTATAAAGGAGATGAATAAGGGAGATGGGACTGGGAAAAAGGAATTTCCATTATCTTTTCAAGTGCCATTTAGGTCACTGAGCAAAATGTGAGAAGAGGGAGAGAACATCTGAGAGAGTTAGTAAAGGAGAACACGCCTCATTTGAGGGAAAGTTCCAGCAAAGTTTATAAAGAGAGACGATCTCCTGCATATAGGTTTCAGCACCACGGATTGGTGGACAGCTCCGCTAATGAGAGTTGTTCTGCAGCAGGACACTGCACAGCAAAAACAGGTCTGAAACAGCAGGTGGTCAACCTCTACCTTCTTGACCATGGAGAACCACACCTGACTGATCAAAGGAAGTTAGAATTGTACAAAAATTTCTGCACATAGTACCGTTCATAAGTTTGCAGTCAATCTGATTTAAAAAAAAAAAAAAAGTTAATATTTTTATTCAGCAAAGATGAAATTGATCAAAGTATTAAAATAGAAAAGAATACAATTAAATAGTTATTTTGAATTGTAATATTTCACAATATTATTGGTTTTACTGTATTTTTTGCGTAAATAAATTCAGCATTGGTGAACAAAAGATAATAACCCCCCCCCCCCAAAAAAAAAAACAATTACCAACCACAAACATTTGAACAATAGTGTATTTTTAGCAAGTATGATTCAGTTTTATGTGTAAGACTGTATTAATAAGGAAAAAAGTGCACCGAGTGCACATGCAGATATAAAAAATGTCACAGTATAAAGTCTGCTGTGGTAATTAATGATTTGATTCCACAGTTTTTATTTAGTGAATGTGCTGGGCAAAAAATATAGAAATCATTACTTTTAATATACAAACGTCAAATAATTTAATATTCAAAAACCCAGTAATTTTATATAAAATGTAAAACACATACACTTAAAATGTTGGCAATTAGGAACCTTTACTTTTTCAATAACCTCTTAATCTTTGCATGTGTAACATTCATAAACTTTTATAAATTTTCATTTGTCTTATTTGTAGTCTGTCCATTGATAGTACTCTCACACAGAGGAAGCCACTCCACATAATGCAACCTAACATTTCATTATCAACAAGCAATGGACTGCCATGATTTTGTGTGTGTGTGTGCGTGTGATTAATGGTGTGTCTGTGGTGAATGACTGCAGTGATTGGATGCTGGCTACAGAGCTGAGTGCTGGCTTTCTTGATTTTCATCCAGCTCCCTAAAGTTCAGTACACAGATTTCTAGTCTTTTGGCTTATACTCAGAGTAGCTTTCATGAGAGCATGAGATCATCAAACACTCAAATATTTGGAATTGTTTCTCTATACTGTTTGACATTTTCTTTATCCTTGACAATCACTCCTTACACTAGCAGTTATTGCTCTCCTCCTCCTACATACCATGCTGTGTGAAAGTAAGTGCACCTCATGAAAAATATTATGCTTTTTTGGAAAAAGTTAGTACAACCTTACATTTATCACTACTGTACATCAGTTCATACTGTTTAATATTACAACAAGGTGCACCAGAGCTGCCTGTGCCCCTCAGAAGAAAAGTTGTTGAGGCGTATGAGTGTGAAAAATAGATTTAAAGCTATTTCCAAACTGTTTACAATCCATCATTCCACTGTACGTACAATAATGCTTCTGGAAATGCTTCAAAAATGCTTCAGGAGGTCAACCATTAAAAAGGGCTGTCCAAATATAGTCTATATGGGAGGTCACCATGAGGCCATGGAAAAAAATTGAAACTGAACTGTACATGGAACCATACATTTATTTAATTATTTCAGTATTCCTTTCAGCAAAATTAAGTTCAAAGCCAAAGTCTAGATTGCGGTACAACAGAATGGCTGTGATGATACTTGTACAATCAGTGTAAGAGCCTGATGAACAATTATAAGAAACACCTACAAGAAATTATTCCTGCCAAAGGGGGCAAATGCACCTATTTATTATTATTATTATTATTATTAGATATTGAATCTAGAGTGTACGCTCTGCGCTTGCGTGAGAGAACATAACTCTTCCATACCAGCAGCTGGCAGTAGTCTGTATTCGGCATTCAAACAGGGAAACCGGAAGAGCTAGAACTGTGGATATACAAAGCAAGCAGCATTCATTGCGTTCATTCACAGCGTGTAAACCATTGTTTACACCAGCTATGCTCTTTACTGACGGATTCGTGTAGCTTTTTTCAATAATTTCTGCTAAGTTGCAAATGGCACTGCCATTGTCAGCCCTTGGTCTTCCTGTTGTGTATAAAGACTGCATTTTTTTGATCAAAAATATAGTAAAACAATAATATTGTGAAATAATATATTAAAATGGAAAAGCTGAATTTGAAACAGCCGTTACTCCAGGCTTCAGTTTCACATGATCACAGAAATCATTCTAATATGCTAATTTGGTGCTCAAGAAAAAAATTTATCTTTATTTATCAGTGTTGAAAACAGTTGTGCTGCTTAATATTTTCATGGAATTTTGAATAGAAAGAAAAAAAACGCATTTTAAAAAATATATATAAATGTTTTGTAATGCTGTAAAAGTTCATACTGTCATTTTCAATCAGTTTATTGCATCATTGCTGAACAAAAAGATTAATTTCTTTAAAAAAATCAAAGTAAAATTTGTATTATTATTTGTTAAAGGTAGGGTAGGTGATTATACCACTTTCTCTTATTGATACTGTCCAAATGAAGTTCCACTTGATATGCCCACATGTATTGAAAGAAAAGACAAAACTTTCTGGGGTGTATTTACTTTTTTACAGCTCTGTATATGCACATATGCTAATTAAAGTCATTATATACTGACTCTAATACTAAACATTCACCATTTCTGTATTATACATTTGTAAATGATTTACTTCCATTATAAAGCTGTTTTCCACATAGAGACCTCAAGGGCATTTGGTCCTCGCAGAGAAAGCAAAACACATCCACACCCACACCATGCTTTGTCTGGTATTAAATATTCTCCTCTTTTCAAGGTGTTAGTCTCGGGAAACAGAAGAAGCGTAACCCTGCAACCTCTCCTCTCAGACACGAGGTACAAGATCACAGTGACCCCTTTTTATGCAGATGGAGAGTCCACAGCTCTGGCCATGGCCTCAACCGGCAAAACAAGTGAGTATGAGTGAACAAATGCTGCGGGAGTCATAATAAACGAAATACATTATGGGTACTTCTCAAACCCTTTCAAAACAGATGCAGTTATGATGCTTACATATTACTTTGGCATAATTGGATAGTTATGGTTTTGAGTTGTCTCCTAGCTCCCTTTTTAGAATTCATAAAATGAACACGTTATTAACACACAACCCTGCTCAGCTGATTTGAAATATTAAAAACGTCAACAACTCACACTTACAAAATGTTTAGCATGTTCTTATGCAGCATTAGGATTATTTAGTGTCTAGTTATGCAGAACGACCTGGGTTCAATTCCCAGGCTGAAATAAATGAATTTTTAATTCTGTCTTAATAAATCAAGTAAAAATGCAACACTATGCCATTCGTTGTATTAACAGGAGCGTGATCTCATTTAGTTCCATGTTAGTTAGTGATTTCACTGAGTTAATTAATTTGACCTTAAAGCAGTGATGAACTTGGCACTACCTGAGGCAGATTCAATTCTAATCTTAACTAATCGTGCGTTAAAAACATACCTGCTTTTTCCCTTTTTTAAGCTCCGTGAACCAGAATGTAACCCCCAAGTTAGTTTTACACAATAGTTTTGTTCTTATGGGACATCTTTTGACTCTCAATTCTAAATTTGCATAGTAGTATTGTTCATCTCTTACTAATTTCCCGTTTGTCTTATGATCGACATTCCTGATTGTTTTATGTAACAGATATAGCACTTATGAGCTGAAAATAGATCCTCTTATAGCACAGCGCTGAGATATAGTTTATACTCACTGCATTTTGAAGTTGGACGGTCAGTCAATTAAACATTTTACCTATTAATAAGCATAATAAATCTTATGTATTCCAGCCCTGGTGTTCCTACTCTAATGAACTGATCAAACCCGCCTGCTTTCCTCTGATGGGATTGATTATCTACAACAGGGGTGCCCAAACTTGGTCCTGGAGGGCCGGTGTCCTGCAGAGTTTAGCTCCAACCCTAATCAAACACACCTGAATCAGCTAATCAAGGTCTTACTAGGCATACTAGAAACTTCCAGGCAGGTGTGTTGAGGCAAGTTGGAGCAAAACTCTACAGGACATCGGCCCTCCAGGACCGAGTTTGGACACCCCTGATCTACAACTTTCTCCCAGTGATCACCTTCAAATTACAGCCCAGTGTCTGATTAGAAATGCTAATGTCACCTCACACTGAACTTGAGATCAGATGTCTGATAGTTGTCTTGGAAAAACCTTTGCCCTTGTTTCTGATTGAGGTTGAGGTTGAATTAATTATGAGTGGGGTGATATTCTCTGCGGAGGAGTGGTAATTATGTGAAAACAGAGACTTTTCTAAGAGAATGCTAGGAATTCAGGGTAGAACTACAGCCTGTAGCAATAAATAAATAAACACTTGAATTTCTTTATCAATATATTGATTGATTGATTGATTGATTTACAATACTAAAGTTTGGGGCTAGCAAGATCTGTTATTTAATTTTTTCAAAGAAATGAATGCATTTATTCAGCAAGGATACAGTAAATTGACTTTTACATTGTTAAAAAAAATATACATTTCAAATAAATATTTATTAAGAATTCTGAAAAAAAAACTATCACAATATGCACAAAAATATTAAGCAGCATAACGGTTTTCAACATTGATAATGATAAGAAATGTTGCTTGTGCACCAAATTGTGATGTTAGAATGATTTATGAAAGATCATGTGACATTGAAGACAGGAATAATGACTGCTGAAAATTCAGCTTTGCCATCACATGAATCAATGATTTATTTTGAATTGTAAGAATATTTCACAATATTACTGTTTTTACTGTTTCTTTGATCAAACAAATGCAGGCTTAGTGAGCATAGGAGACTTTCAAAAACATTAAGAAACTTTACTGACCCCAAACTTTTGAAATGTATTTTTTTTTTAAATAATTTATTAATTGTTTATTATTAATTAATTTGTTTATTTATTCTTTTACTTTTTTTTATACCTGAACATTTTAATGATACAGCATATTGTGCAATTCAAATCACATAAGATTTTATGAAGTTCAATTAACCAGCAATTGACATTAAATAACTACATTGCAAATACTAATCATGATCTTCTGTCTTCTGATTGGTTAGTTCCACTTTCTGGACCCAGTAACCTTAGGGTGTCTGATGAATGGTATAATCGCTTCCGCATCAGCTGGGACAGCCCTCAGTTCCCTACTATGGGTTACAGAGTCATCTACCAGCCCATCTCTGGTATACACACACACACACACACACACACACACACACACACACACACACACACACACAGGTATTCCTATCATCATGGTGCAATTCATAATGAAGTTTGTGTAATGGTTTTTATACTGTACAAACTGTATTTGCTATCCCGTTAACCTACCCCTACCCTTAAACATTTTAATAATAATAAAAAAAACTTTATACATATAAGATTTATACATTTGTTTCCTCATGGAGAACAAAAAAAAAGCCCCCACAAGGTCAAAATTTACTGGCATTACTATACTTGTGGGGACATTTGGTCCCCATAATGTAGGGAATACCAGTACACATATACACACACACACACTTATCATAAACCTCCACAGTTTATCTGCTCATGAATGGATGTCTGTACGATCCCATGTAAATGTGCTGCATAATTCAGCATTAGATTCCAGACATACAGGTACATGAGGTATGCAAATAACTTTAGCAAAAAAGTCTTGAGACTCTGGAGACATATATAGACGGGTAGGATGAATAATTAGCAGCTTGTTTGAAAGGGCATTAAATGTAGGTTGAGATACTCTCTCCATGTCTGCTGCTCTGATTATGACTGTTCTTCCATCTGCAGTCTGAGATTCGACTGTAAACAGAAGCACTAATGTGGCTGCAGCACACCAGAGGGAAAAATATAACACTCCTCTGTTTTCCACTGAAGTCCAGCCCAATAAATTCTTTTATATGATCTTAAACTCCCATCTGCGGTGGAGAGAAATGGCTTCTCCACCTACATTTAATGCCCTTCCAAACTGCTCCCAACAGCTGCTAATAATTCATCCCAGCACCGGTCATTTCTACTGTCCAGAGCTCATTTTCTGTGTCTGTGTGTGTTGTTGAAGGGGAGGGTTCACTTATTGTCATATCATTTCACATCTATTTTTCCCAGTCTTTGTGATGGTTATAGTGTAATGCTATGATTGTAAGTGTCTGTGAAATCCACCTACTCTTTTCCTGTGTCTTTTTTTAGTTAAGTCTGTGATTTTGATGTAGAGAGGCCTCATGGGTATAGATGTTTAGTTTGTGAGGGCCAGAAAACAGCACTTTAGTTTTTGGAGTTTATTCCTATGAGGTATGAATGTTGAAAAAAAAACAACAACAACAACATTTTTTTGCTTAAAGGGACATAAAATGTAAAATAATTTTAAAGAATTGAATGTATAATACAATAGACATACTTAGACATTCACAGCCTAAACTCCCTTCCCAGTCCACCCAGAATATTTAGTAAGCTGCAAAAACATGTTGTTCAGAATTAAAGGGATGGTTCACTGAAACAAATTATTTGTTTCATAGTCAAATCTTTTCAAAGACTCAGTCGATCAAGTTCTCAAACCTGTCTAATTGATTCATTCATGAATTGAGCTTGAGTTGAGTTGTTGATCCGGTTGACTCATTAGAAGGGAAGATTAGAAGGGAAGATTTCCAATGAATAGCGATGTAAATTCTGTAAGGAACAGACAAAAATGTAGTGCCATTTGAAATTTTTCCCTTCAGAAGACTTGAAATATAGTACACGTACAACCTATGGGGTCAGTAAAATTCATCCTAGAAGAATCCTAGAAAAAATGAATCATAGTTTCCACAAAAATATCAAGCAGCACAACTGTTTTCAACATTGATAATGATAAGAAATGTTTCTTGAGCAGCATATATTAGAGTGATTTCTAAAGGATTGTCTGACACAGAAGACTGAAAACTGTTATTTTAAATTGTAATAATATTTTACAGTATTTTTACTGTATTTTGTTTTAACAAAGAAACATCTTTCATAAACACAAAAAAAGCTTACCAACCTTAAACTTTTGAATGGTAGTGTATCTTGTGGACCATTTTATAGTTTGTTCTTTTCTCTTTTTTTTGTATTTTTGAAGCTTGAAATCTTCAGTTCCCATTTATTGTGCACGGAAAATAATAAATAATTAAAATTGTATTTCATTTTGTGTTTCACAGAAGACAATCAGTCATGTAGGAACAACATGAGAGTGACTAAATGCTGACAGATTTTTTTTATATATAATTTTTAGGTGAAATAATCGTGTAACATGAACTAAGCTACTGTCTTTCACAATCAAAATAGTAGTCATTTACATATAGAATTTTTAATTGTATCAATAGTAAAAACAACTGATTTAAAACTACATTACAACTTGACTAATATTATAAGTGTTATAATATTATAAGTGTACTTCCAGGGAAAAAAAGCTAATAACGGCCCTTTAAATAGTTAACTTTTTTTACACATTTTTCCTGTAAGGTTGCTGCGATTGTTTTCAGCTCTTGTCTCGCTCTGTGCGCAGTGCCAGGTCCGGCTCTAGAGACGTTTGTAGGGGATGATGTGAACACCCTGCTGATCCTCAGTCTGTTGAGCGACACGGAGTACAGCGTTCAGGTCATCGCCTCCTACACCACCGGCTCCAGCCAACCCCTCACCAGCAAGGGCAAAACATGTGAGTCTCTGCACAAATACACACCTAAACATAATTATCTAGTACACACAAATCTGCACGCTGCCCAGCGTGAGATCTCTACACTATTCCCAACAGCCCACCATCATTTTGCTGCACCATCACATCAGATTCACAGATGTAATTTGCCTCCTGTGTGATCATCCTTGCTAATACTGTTTCTTGATAATATGCAACAGCGATAATATCTCTATGTAAGCGGACTGGCGAGAACTGCCCCTTTTGTCTGTTAATGAAACTTGAAGGTGCTCTTTGATAGGCAGCCAGCTACACATATATCAATATTCAGACAGACAGCTCCAGTAATGACAGTCCTTTGCATATAAATTTGATATCGCCAGGTACATCACAAAGTAATACCTGTTTTAGCGATTCTCATCAAAAAGCAAACAGATTATGTTTTCTCAGGAAGTGCTGAGGCCATCCATCAGAGCACCGTGGTGTCACCATGCCAATATCAGTCACCACGGTCTTGTAGTCAGATAAACAGGCACAATGCTTACAACACCTGCAACTGACAGAGCGCTATCTCAGAAAAAAAACATTTCTTATATCATAATATATAACAGGAAGCTAAGGCATGTTATATAAAATATCTGTCATCAGGGTTCTTCCTGTTACTTCCACAATCAAGGGTGTAAACAATACTGAGGTATTTTATGTAAGTTTAAGTATGAGTGTTAAGATTTCTTTAATTAAATCATTGCCTCTTCAAGTTTAATCATCACACCAGAGTGTATTGTGACTCCTAATTTTTGGCCCCTGAATTATAGACCTCTTGATAATATATAATAAGACTTATTATACTATTTTAGATATTTATGACTTTTCATTACTTTAAATGTTGACCCCCCCCCCCTAAATTGAAGGCTTTAAGTACACAGAACGTACATTTTATTTTCACACATACTCCTAAATACATTTTTTTACACATTTTTACATTTTTTACACATTTTACAGTTACACATATCTATTTTTAGTCACAAATGTGAGTGAAATGCTTTATATAATATATTTTTAGATATTAGAATGTTTTATATTGATTATGCCAAAACATTTAAGTAAAAGTATTTAGGCGACGTAATTAAAAGTAAAATCTAAATACGTATTTATACTATACTATACTATACTATACTATACTATACTATGCTATGCTATGCTATGCTATACTATACTTTACTATAAAATGATACTAAATTTGACGTGTAACAATTCAAGATGTTTCATACAAATATTGATGTGCTCTAAAGCCTTTCATAGTCAGAATATTGAGAAAATTATAATTGAATTGATTTTTGAAAAGTTTGTGCAACAAAGGAACTTGTTATTAAAATTAATATAATAAAAACTAATATAACAAATTAATGAATACAAAAAAAAAAGATTGTACTTTTAATTACTTACCCTAAATACTTCGTAATTTCACTTACTGGTTACCCAGTAAACTGTATCTGGTTTTTAATTCAACGTTTAACATATAAATAGTTTAATAATTAAATAAATAAAGTTTGAAGCAGATGTATTTAAAAACCTGGTGTACTTCTGTATTCAAACTAATTAAATAATTAAAGTTTTTATGCGCTTCTAAATCATTCGAATTAGGAGCATATGTGCTCATTGGGGGAAAAAGTAAGCGTCAAGCCCTGATATATACAGTGGTGTGAAAAAGTGTTGGCCCCCTTCCTGATTTCTTATTTTTTTGCATGTTTGTCACACTTGAGGCAAAAACGGCATCCATGGGAGTGTTCCAAGGCAAAAGCCACTACTGACCAAAAAGAACACAAAGGCTCTTAAACAGTCCATTCATGCTCGAAAACCCTCCAATGTAGCTGAATTAAAACAATTCTGCAAAGAAGAGTGGGACAAAATTCTTCCACAGCGATGTGAAAGACTCATTGCCAGTTATCCCAAACACTTGATTGCAGTTGTTGCTGCAAAGCGTGGCACAACCAGTTATTAGATTTAGGAGGCAATTACTTTTTCACGTAGGGCCATGCAGGTTTGGACAGCTTTTTCCCCTTAATAAAATAAATCATTTAAAAACTGCATTTTGTATTTACTTGCATTATCTTTGTATAATATTAACATTTGTTTGATGATCTGAATCTTTTAAGTGTGACAAATATGCAAAAAAAATTTAAAAAACAGGAACGGGGCCAACACTTTTTCACACCATATATATATATACTGAAAATCTATATATATATATACTGAAAATCTAATTGTAAAAGATTATCATGTTTATTTTTTCTTTCTTAGAAATGTAATTGTAAGTATTTAGTTAGTACTCCAGTAGTGCAAAATTACCCCAAATAATACTTAAATATAGTTATCAAGTACAATTACTATACAAGTATTTTACACGCGTGCACAGTTTCCTTCAAATTAGATTAGTGATGACTGAGCAGAATCTAGCTAGAGACAGTTCACTAAAGGATAAAGACTACCGACACAAAAAGTCTGACACATTGCCAAGGGTGTCATGGCTTTTTTTAGGGGTCACTTGTGTCAATGCTGCCTCACTTGGTGAAAGAAAACACATGACCAAACATGACCAAAATCTTAGTAAATGTTAGTCAAGTTTGTATGTATTATAATTTATATATTTTTATTTATGTAGCCTAGCAAAATTGCAACTAATCAAATAATAGTGACACAGCACACATCACTTTTTACATACCATAATCTTGCTTACTTTATTATTATAAATTATACCACATACACTTTTTTGGAAGTAGCATTCAGAGTCCATTTGGCTCACAAATCTAAAAGGGGCACATGCCGTCTCAGTTTAAATGAGCATGACACCTCTGCATGTCACAGATTTTATGACACCCCGATAGTGCCATTAAGCACGGACAAAATGTGCTAAAGGACTTCCAGTCAATCTCAGCTTCTAGCATGGGTGATAATTCTTTTTACACTCTATGGCTGTCTGAGGAACCTCCCATATTGTCTCACCCTACATGACATCTGCATATCGCCTCCTCAATGGGGTCCATCAATTTTTCATACGTTTTCTGTTTGACCTTTGAATAATTGAATGCACAATAATGGATTTCCACCTCCTTGTATTAGTACTATCAGCCAGAGGTCCTTTTTGCATGCATATAGTTCATTAAAATAGTTTATATAAGGAGGAAAGCTTGTCACATGCATTATTCAAAACCTTAAACGAATCACCACCACTGTGCCCCATATGTTTTGTGCACAGTCTCCATTTTAATCTAAAATCTCCAAGTCTCAAACACGACTGACATGATGTTCTGTTGTGTAGCGTGAATTTCAATGGACAGCTTGATTGCGTTGGTAGTTCCTTTTTAGGATCTGGCTCTCATATCAAGGCTCAAAGGAGGACAGTGTCCAACCATATGGAACTTTTCCAGTACAAGCAGACTTTGGGTTCGCCACAACTTTTGGCGTATAAAATGTGTGGGACTCCATTTGTTGCAACACGGTCACAATTGTGCTTCTGTTCCAAATACTACAAGCTCCAAAGATGAATATTGTTTTGTGCGACTAATGTAGACCATGTGCTGTGGCTTGTGTTTTGCTGAACAAAAACGTGATAATTCCAAAATAAGTCTATTTTTTTGGCTTTTAAAAGAGTTTTCTTTCACACAGCACATTTTGTGTGGTTTGCACAAAGAGAAAAAGGAAAATAAAGAAAGAAATGGTTAAGGCCATTTGTGGCTTTTAAGTGGAGAGCGTATTTGTTAAGAATGCAGTTTGAACCTCTTGCTTTCCTCTCAGATGTGTTTTTCTAGCCATTAGGTTTGCCTGACTTGCAGTATTTAAAGAGTATCGCACAGAAATCTGAGGAGATCAGAAATAGGGTTCTGGTTTCGAGAGAAGTGAAGCCTACAGGTTTTACCCCATAACCTGCAGCTCAAAGTAGCTGCTGACAACCCTATGGCTCATTATCCATTACTTTAATACATGTGCTGCTTTTTATTTCAGAACATTAGACTACATTAGAGAAGCAACGATCAAGGCTTTCCTCTCACTACCCACCAACGTGTACATTTCAAAGCTTTCATACAGGTTTAGTACACTACTGTTCAAAAGTTTGGGGTCTGTCATTTTTAAAATAGTTTTGAAAGTCTTTTATGCTCACGAAGCCTGTATTTATTTAATCAAAAATTCTAATATACTGATTTGGTGGATAATGAAAAATAATAAGAAGTAATTTATTATTACTATTTATTTATTTATTGTTTGTTATCAATTTTGAAAACAGTTGCCGTGTCATTTTTTTATTTAAATTTTTTTGTGGAAACCGTGATACTTTTTTCAGGATTCTTTGACGAATAGAAAGCTCAAAAGCATTTTTTTAAAAATATAAATCTTTTGTAACATTGTAAATGTCTTTATAGTTACTTTTGATCAATTTAACGCATCTTTTCTTATAAAAAAAAAAAATACAATTTAGCTGACCCCGAACATTTGTATGGTAGTTTATATAATGGATTCACATGTGTTACACTGATCTTTTTTCCAATGAAAATGTACTTAAAACAAGATCAATTTAACTAAGAAGCAACACTGCATAAGACATTAAAAGTTACATTTTAAATTAAAATGCTTTCCTCCTGGTCATAGCTTAAATGGATAGTTCACAAAACAAGACAATTTTGTTATCATTTACTCACCATCATGTTGTTCCAAACCTGTATGACTTTCTTTCTTCAGCTGAACACAAAAGAAGGTATTTTGAAGACATTTTTTTTCCATATAATGAAGGTCAATGATGTACAAAACAACATTGGACCCTGTTAACTTTCAGTGTATGGACAACCCATCCCCCCACTGATTTTTCAAAGTATCTTAGTTTTGCTTTTCCACTAAAATCATCTTGTTTCAAGATCTGTTTTCTTCTTCCCCTTGCAGTGTTTCTGGGGGTGAACCGTCTCAGCACATACCAGGTGCTCAGTAGCAGCATGTGTGCCCAGTGGCAACCTCACCGCCACGCCACCGTCTACAGAGTAGTCATTGAGTCACTGCTTAGTGAGTGATACACAAACACAAACACACACACACACAAACACACACACACACACACATTGTTAATGCATTGCAGAACAAAGTCATAAGGTGGCTTCCTGTTTTGCAATATTGACATAAATTTCCGTTTCAGAGGTAATGGGATATTATGGCTCATTTCAGCACAGACCTCTGAGCCTTCTGGGCTGTTCAACAAAACTCTTTTACTGTATGCATATTGTTCTGCTGGCGTGTGACATGGTTTCGATGCAAATTTAAAACAGCAGAGTCAAAAGCCCTTTTCCTGTTATTGCTTTTCTTATTCCTGCCTGATACTTCACCAGCCCAGCTTATCACGCAATCCTGGACATCTTCTGTTCCCCTTCCAGCGTGTGACTGCTCAGATGGCTACCAGCTCAGTGATGCTATTAAAACCAGATCCTGCCTGAAGCCCCAGTGTGTGTGTGCCTGTGTATGAAGTATTTGAATGACAGTTATTGCAGTTCTCAGAGAAACACTATAGAAGGGATATAGAAATCTTCAGTTATTTTTCAGTTTATTTTTAACTGAAAAAAAAATAATACTTTTATCCAGCAAGGGTGCATTAAATTGACCAAAATGACATTAAAGACATTTAATATGTTACAGAAGATTTCTGTTTCAAATAAATGTTGTTATTTGGACTTTTTATTCATCAAAGAATCCTGGAAAAAATCATAAAAATATGAATGCTTTCAACCTTAATAATAATAAGAAATGTTTCTTGAGCACCAAATCAGCATAATAGAATGAAGGTTCATGTGACACTGAAGACTGGAGTAATGGCCACACAGAAATAAATTACATTTTAAATTATATTCAAAAAGAAAATAAATAGAAAATATTATTTTAAATTATAACAATCTAACACAATCTTACTGTTTTTACTGTATTTTTGATCACATAAATGCAGCCTTGGTTAGCATAAGAGTCTTCTTTGAAAAAAAAACCTGACAGGGCATCATCACAATGTGGTAAGGGGTGTAACATTTCCGTCACACACTTGAGGTATTCGGCCAATCATAACGCGCTGGATAGCTGGCCAATCACAGCACACCTCGCTTTTTCAGACCGATGAGCTTTGTAAAAATCTACGCGTTTCAGAAAGGCGGGGCATAGAGGAGAAACAATAATGTACAGTATGTGGAAAATAATGTGTTTTTTGAACCTTAAACCGCATAAACACATTTCATTACACCAAATACACAAAATAATGTTCTTTTTAGCAGCATCATATGACCCCTTTAAGTGATAATCTTAATGTAACTTTTAATTACTTCTTTCAAAATGTTCCCAGTTTACCTGAATTCACCCAATATATTATATATGACATATATTTGTTGGCATGTTTAGATATCTTTACTGAAAAACTAAATAAAGATTAAAAATAATGATTAAGAGCATATTTTTGCAGTTTATGGGGATTGTTCACTGTACAAGTTTCAGTGTATACAACACACACGTTAGCGTGTCAATTAGGCGGTAGAAACACTTCAATGATACAGATCATTTCCAGCCAATGAACTGAAAACAACATCCTCCCTTGACCACATACACTCAATCACCGCCTGAGAAACAGACTGAACCACCATCAGTAGAGCAGTGTGTCCTATTTCTTGTACAATTTGATTTCCGTTGAGATCACAAATCTGATTGTGTGTGTAATAAAGTGCAGACAGCCAGGCCCTGCTCTGGTTTATGTGTTGTTTTGTTGTTTCTGCAGCTCCAGCACCCACCCAGCCACCGACCGCACCACCCACCACGATCCCTCCTCCCACCATCCCCCCTGCCAAAGAAGGTAGGACACCAGTGTGGGAAGAACCGGCCTGTCTGCCATCGTTTTTCCCTGTTTGCTGGCCATGTCCCTATGTGTTGTGTGACCTTTCACTAACATACATCTCTGCTGACAGCTAACCTTTTCTTATTCTCTGAGCCACTCCGCACTCAATAAATATGTCTGAGTCTTCCCAAAACATCTGATAAAACACACAGAACTTATTTAACCTCCTTATATAGATCTTTTACATTTCAAACTTTATAGTGGATACTGTATATTTGCTTCATTGTCTGGCCGAATGCTTATGGTGTTTAATGTATCATAAAGTAAGACCTGAATAATTTTTTGGCCTGAAACCGAATGCTTCTTTAGATTTATTTGTTACTTTTAGATGGCTTTATCTCTGGGCCTTTGGGTAGTCGCCTGAAGGCTTTGCCCTGCATGTTACACATTACTCTTAATGAATACAGGTCACATGGTAAAAGGTGAAACATTTATTACCTTTAAAGAGCTCATGAAATCAAAATGAGAGTTTTGTGGCTTTGTGTTTAGCTCTTGGACAAAAGTGTGATATGTCTCACAAACTTGCTGTTTTAATAAGCAATGAGTCAGTGCAAGAAAGAAATAAGGGAATTTTATTAATCCCAGTGAGTCTAATGAGTCTGTTTACTTAAACGATTAGGTCAGAGTTGTTCATTTAGTACACTTTCTACATGTTACACTACTGTTCAGATAGAATTTAGAAGATTTTTTAATGTTGTTGAAATAATTGTTTTATGATCATCAAGGCTACATTTTTTGATAAAAAAATAGAGTAAGAACAGTAATATTGTAAAATATTATTACAGTTTAAAGTTTAAAACTTTTCTGTTTAATATATTTTAAAATGCAATTTATTATGTTAAAGCTGAATTTCCAGCAGCCATTTATTTTAAGTATTTTAAATCTTTTCTAACATTATAAATGTCTTTACTGTCACCTTTAATCAATTTAATGCATCCCTACTGAAAAAAAAACACACATTCATTTCTTCTTTTGAAAAAAAAAACAAAAACTTTTGAATTGTAGTGTACATCACAGATTGGCTGAAAGGGAGCACTTTTTTTGTTTATTATGAGTATGTCATTGAATCACTCATCCATTTCGTTAAAAATTCAGAGTTGTTCATTACCGAAACAACCCATTTATCTCTTTGTTCTGAATGAGATGGACAAACTGAATGAGATGTCCCAATTTGTACAATAATGAGACTTGCCAGTTCTTTCAAGTTGTTTACGAGCACAATGCCTGATTCTTTTAGTTTATTCGCAAACGACGTGTCTTGTTCAGTGCCATTCTTGTTCAGACTCAAAACAGCGATTCGTCCAACCAATGAAATGCTCCAAACACTTTTGATTGTGCTAGTAAGACTTTTGAGGTTACACCTTAATTATAAGGTGACAATATTACAGTGCAATTCCACAATTAAGTTCTGGTAATACTAAATAACTACATGTACTAAGTACTTACTACAGGGTTAAGGTTAGGGTCTGGTTAGGGTTTGTTGCTTGCAACTATGCATAATTTGCAGTTATTACTGTAGTAATTATGTGGCATTTAGCACTTTAAAATAAATGAATTTATATGTAACATCAGCCTTAAAATGAATTTCATTGATATATCCTAATTTATTAAGATTGATTCAGTCACTAAATAATATTTTTGACACGAATAAAACCAGTTAGATGTTAGTACATAAAGCACATTTTTAGGTTACCGAGAGTGTATGTGTTTAGCCCTAAATCCTGCAAAGCAACGGTCTGGCAGAGTATAGCAGAGGTATCTGGGAATTAATTAAGCCTCCTTGTTTTATCCAGCTAGCTGTGATGGAGATCCTGTCAGTGAGAAAGGGAAGTGTTTGGAATCATTTGACATCTGTTGTACTGCAGCACTTACACAGTAATGAGAATTTCTTATTTTAGCTAGTGATTTTTCACCTGCTTCCTCTCTCTCTTGCTCTGTCTGTCGAATTTTCTCTCTCAGTTTGCAAAGCAGCCAAGGCAGACCTGGCCTTCCTTGTAGATGGCTCCTGGAGTATTGGAGATGACAACTTTCAGAAGATTATCCGTTTCCTATACAGCACAACTGGTGCACTTGATGTGATTGGCCCAGAGGGAACACAGGTATGCTGCACGTGAAATATTTGTCAAATTCAGTCTATTTCATATTGTTTTTATTTGTTTACATTGTATAACATTTCTAACATTTTTATGAAAGAAATGACTATCATCCTGAGCTAAAAGCAAAACTGTACGCCCAAGATGTACATGAGTTTCTTTCTTCATTGGAACAGATTTGGAGAAATTTTTTTTTCTCACCAATGGATTCTCTGCAGTGAATGGGTGCCATCAGCATAAATGTTCAAACAGCTGATAAAAACATCACAATAATTCACAAGTAATCCACACGACTCCAGTCCATCAATCAACATCTTGTGAAGCGAAAAAGCGGTGTGTTTGTAAGAAACAAACCCATCAAGAAATGTTTAACTTCAAAACATTTCTTCTAACTGAAATACGAGTCCTGTGTCCATAATATTGCTTTCTTCAGTGAAAATGTGTGGATTAATTGTGGATTATTGTTATGTTTTTATCATCTGTTTGAACTCTCATTCTGACGGCACCCATTCACTTCAGAGGATCCATTGGTGAGCAAGACTCACTTAAGTGGGACTTTGAAGTTATATGAATATATATATTATATGAATTATATATATATATATATATATATATATATATATAAAATATTATATGAATATATACCTTCATATAATATCAAATAAAACACTACAGTTAAAATTATAACCAAGTACTTTACATGTGCTTTAGTATGTTAGTAAACACATCATAATAAGTGTACTTCTTTAAAGCATAACATATTAAAACAATGATTTCAGTTTACTTTAAAGTAAAACGTTTGATTTGACTATTACGAAGTGCACTTTTTAAAACTATTTAAGTGTGTTAAGAAACATAGAGATGTACATGAGTTTCTTTCTTCATTGGAACAGATTTGGAGAAATTTAGCTTTTTCTCACCAATGGATTCTCTGCAGTGAATGGGTGCCATCAGCATAAAGGTTCAAACAGCTGATAAAAACATCACAATAATTCACAAGTAATCCACACGACTCCAGTCCATCAATCAACATCTTGTGAAGCGAAAAAGCGGTGTGTTTGTAAGAAACAAACCCATCAAGAAATGTTTAACTTCAAAACATTTCTTCTAACTGAAATACGAGTCCTGTGTCCATAATATTGCTTTCTTCAGTGAAAATGTGTGGATTAATTGTGGATTATTGTTATGTTTTTATCATCTGTTTGAACTCTCATTCTGACGGCACCCATTCACTTCAGAGGATCCATTGGTGAGCAAGACTCACTTAAGTGGGACTTTGAAGTTATATGAATATATATATTATATGAATTATATATATATATATACATATATATATATATATAAAATATTATATGAATATATACCTTCATATAATATCAAATAATAACACTACAGTTAAAATTATAACCAAGTACTTTACATGTGCTTTAGTATGTTAGTAAACACATCATAATAAGTGTACTTCTTTAAAGCATAACATATTAAAACAATGATTTCAGTTTACTTTAAAGTAAAATGTTTGATTTGACTATTACGAAGTGCACTTTTTAAAACTATTTAAGTGTGTTAAGAAACATAGTCATGAAACTGTACTCTCTTTGCATACAGTTAATGGCCTTTCATTTCATTAATATGATATTATCTGCAAGTACAGTTTTTTTTAAATATGCTTTTAAGATTTTACGTACACTACAAGTACACATTCAGTACATTCAGTATTCAGTAAAAATTAAGTACACTTCTTATTGACAAGGAACAGATCTGTATTAAAATTGTATATAGACTATAGACCATTAAAAATATAAATTACATCAAATTTTAGTAGAGCCTATTATAAATTAGCAGAGTCATGTCGTTCCACGTGGGCGCTACAGTTTGAGAAGTTCTGCTTTTGAACTTATAATGGTCTGGTTTGCTTCAAAAAGGTTTTTTGCTTCTCTCAAAGATAATTTTTGGAATGAGGCTTCATGGGAATAGCTATTATGGGCTAGAGACCACACTACCAAGCATTTAACCCAGTATCCTGAGAGAACATTAGATAAAAAATAGCCTTTGTCTAGACTTGTCAGTCCAGGACTCAGAAGATCTTCATCAGCTTTAGGGATCACTGCAGTGGACCTACTACAAGGGATGTGAAAACAGGAGAATAAGCACGTTTCAAGGGCAGGAGCTAAAGTAAATACACAGAACATGGATAAAACATCTTCTTCTTTTACACACAGATGTTAGCGTTCTGTCGTCTGTTGTAGGCCTTGTAGAAATGTTTGACTTGGCTCAAACTGGTTCAACATCAGCAAACTCTCATGCATGATGACATGGCTTTTGTGCCTCTCTTTTCAGAGTGTGGCCTAGTGGTTAAAGATCTGAGCTGGTAATCACAAGGTTTAAGCAATCCATGTACCAGTATGTGACTGAGCAAAACATTTACAGGTCAAAAATGAACCAGGGCTTGAGGAAAAATGACACTGAAAGTGCCAAAAATACTCCTGATATTTTAAAAAATGTTTTTTTAAAAAAGGCCTCCATAGTCAATTACTATGAGTTTTTTTTTGTCATCTAGCATTTGATATATTATTATATTATATATATTATATTTTTTAATAAATTAATACTTTTCAATAATACTTTTTGAAAACACTGACATTGATAAAAATAA